AAACAAATGTTGTGTAGCCGAAACCTAAGCATAAAGCTGAAAATACGAATGCTTAAATGTTATGTTTTCTCGGTCCTGTTATATGGGGTGGAGGCGTGGACACTAAATAAGCAATGTATGGGTAAGCTGGAGGCATTTGAGATGTGGGCGTACCGAAAAGTGTTAAAAATCTCCTGGAAGGATAAGATAACTAACCAAGTTGTATTAGACAGGATGAACAAACAAAAGGAGGTCGTATTGAGTGTTAAAGTGAGGAAACTACAATACCTGGGACATATTACACGTGGGAATCAATATCAACTGTTACAACTAATTATGCAAGGAAAGATTGAAGGTAGGCACAGCATAGGTAGGAGAAGAATGTCATGCTTGAGAAACCTCAGGGAGTGGTTTGCTTGCACTTCCATACAATTGTTCCGAGCGGCAGCCTCCAGGGTCAAAATTGCCATGATGATAGCCAACCTTCGTAGCGGAGATGGCACGTGAAGAAGAAGACTAAAATTGTGCTCTAATACCGACCTTATCTATTTTTGTAAATTCTACTTTGTTTTCCTAAAAACTAAAGTGTTTTATAAAAAATACAACTATAAACCCTTTCTAATCTAATAAAAAAACTACTGCATGTAAGTAAAAAAAATATTTTCTGTAATAATTTGCAAGCAAATTTCCAATGAATTTCTCAATGCTTACCTGAAACATTAAGGATTAACGACCACTCTTAAACTGATTACGTCGCTTGATTAAATCGAGGTGACTAAAACAAAATCTAGAACATATCATCCAACCATTTATACATAAAAAAATATATTTATCACTAGGCCTAATATATTTCTTACTAGGATACACATGCGCCGTAGTATTAAGTTTAACCAACTTAAACGTATTTACAAAAGAATTTAAATTTTTTGAATAGGCCGTATTTACATCGAATTTGTATGGGCCGTTAATAGGTAGTTTTACCTTAAAAGCATATTTTTATTATACCCTCCAGGCACAAAAATCATATCAATACGTTTCTCCTTAATAAAATTCATGTTAGTAATAGTAACAAACCAACAGGAGTTGATAAAAATAGTCTAATTTTAAACTTTTAAGCAAGTTTTGACCAACCCTTATTCCAAGTTTTGACCAACCCTGTATGTCAAAGTTAAATATTTCGCTGTATTATTTAGCTATATTAAGTTTAGGGAATAGTACAATAGCAGACATTAGTACTATATTAAAAATCGTTTGAACATAAATATATTTTTTATGTAAAATCTCTATAATTCTACAAGGTGTTAATTTTGCTAAGAAATGAATACAAGACGTAAATATATTTTAAACAACCTCGTATCTTATATTAAAAAAAAAAGAGAACATCCAGAAAAGTCCAAAAATGTAAAAATATTATTTCTTTATATTAAAAATATAATTTTGTTCTACCCCGTCAATATGGCTGGCCTTGAATATTTGAAAATATTTTTAGAGTATGGTCCTATAGCTCCTACTTTTGCCTAAATAAATTTTTTGGGCTTCCTTTTACTAATGTCGCACTGTCGCGACTCTCGGGATTTGTCGCCAAAGCTGCCTCTTCTGTATGTGTATATATAATACTCGTAATCAAACCTAATAAAACAGAATACGAATAGAGTACTAAAATAATATTCGCTTCACATTATTCCAGTCCAGTAATCCAGCGAGTTAATTTATTCCAGTGCTCGTTCCCACTATTCCAGTCATTCAAAAGCTGTAAGATCGGTCATATATCGTCCACATAATACGTGTTCACTGTTCAACAGGGAATTAAGGACTGGAATGGCCGTTCAGAATATTCTAGTGGCGCTGAAAAAATATACCGTAATTCTAGTCAACTCGACTGGAGTGATCACTGAAATGGTGCATTCCAGTGCAGGTTCACATTATTCCAGTGGCATTCCACCGTTCGACTGGAATGTTGGAGTGGAAAAAAACTGGAATAATCCTGAACCGGGCATAAGAATAAAATCAGGTCAAGGAATTTAATTACCATTGATTTATTTGTATTTGAAATATGATCAATTTCGTGGATTATCGTAACTGAATTTAACAATGGGAATATAAGCATTTATTATAAATAAATCTTATTGTACTTACATATGTTTTCCTGCAGCTAGCAACAGGATACTCGAAAAATATTTAAAAAGAACTGTGCACAGTTTTTTCAATACAATTCTCAAATATAAGAAACATGTATGCTTTTAATGAAGGATAATCAGACCAATACGTTTTTTAACTTAATATAATTGGCATCGCTATTAACTATAATGTCAATTTTCATATATTTTACGATTATAATTAACTCACTAATATTAAGTTAATAAAACGTGCGAATATTCTAAACAATAATCAGTTGCAAATATATTTACTTTCGATGACTCCAAATTTGTTTCATTAATGTTAGTTTAGCCATTTGCTGTAAATATAATATATAGTTTTTATTTTAAATTAGAAAATTTTGAAAAAGTGGCGATTTATTTCTTAACGTAGTCTCCTTTTTACTTGATACACTTGACCCAGCGATGTTACTGATTAAAGTTCTTTAATCCATTAACAATACGTTTTATCGAGGTCTGAAAAGTAGACTTCCATGGCGACGATGACCTCCATATTCGACTTAAACTTCTGCCCACCGAGTGCCTTTTTTAAGTTTGGAAACAAAAAGAAGTTGCACGGGGTTAAATTCGGAGAATACGGTGAATGGGGCAACAGTTTGTAGCCCAATTTGATCAATTTCTCCATGGCGATGGCCGAGGTATGATGAGCCGGTGCGTTGTCATGGTGGAAGAGCAATTTTTCTTTGCCAAATGGTATCGTTTTTTCTGCAATTTCGCCGTCAAATCGGTCCAATAATTCAGCGTAGTGAAGTTCTGTGATCGTTTTGATCTTTTTCAGGTAGTCTATGTAGATCACCCCTTGTGAATCCTAGGAAATTGTGGCCATCACCTTTTCGGCCGATAGAACAGTCTTCGCCTTTTTCAAAGCATGTTCGCCGGATCCTGTCCTCTGTTTCTCGACTGTTTCTTTGGTCTCTCGTAGGTACCACTCGATCCACTTTTCTTCGATAATTACGAAACGATTTAGAAACTCCTTCGGATTACGTTTAAATAGCGTCAAACACTCCTCTGAAGTCGTCTCAAGGTTGCGCTTGTTGGCACCTATGGCACCGAAAGCTTTCTCATGCCCAAAATTTCATGCAGGATATGACATAGGCCGTTTTTTGAGATACTTATTGTCTCAGCTATCTTGCGCACCTACAGTCGTGGTCTGCCAATACGAGATCGTGCATTTTTGTCATATTATCCTCCGTGACAGCCATTTTTGGAGCACCTAGGCATGGCTCATCAAAAACCGACGTGCGTTTACTTTGAAAATTGTTAAATCAATTTTTGATGGTTGCCATATCCCTTCCAATTACAAAAAAATGAATCACTGACAGATATTGCTCTTTTTCCATTTTTCCAAAATGCGCGAATACTCACAATTTCACATGCGTTCAAAACAAAACTACGATTATGGTTTGGTTAAAATTTTGACATTATCCATCTACGAGAATTTATTACACAATAGTAGAGTTCTCTTAAGATAGTGGCCCAATCGGAGATTGGGGCTAAATAATTATCAAAAGTATTTTTCAGACAGGTTAAAGAGGTTGGAACATCGCTGGGTCAAGTATATCGAGGTAAAAGGAAACTAGGTTGTGAAATAAATCAACACTATTTTTTTTTGAAAGCTAAGTACTACGTAAGTATAAAACATTTTTTACTATTCCTTAAAATCCATACACATAATTAATTGGATTAAAGCTGCATTGAACTACGGTAGTGAAAAGGTAAATGACTACGGTTTATTGACCGAAAAAAATTGATTTCACTTTTAAACCTTCTGTACCAGATGCTTTGGTGAATTCTGGTAGGATGAAATACATATAAGCGAATATACAGAGGCACTATACATAAAATAAAATCTGTTTTTTCTTTTAACTATATTTTCTTTTAATTTTCCATAATTTTGTTTGCTAAAAGTTTTGTTAAAATCGGTGACTTTTCTCATAAAAGATTGGTTAATTTTAGGCCTTTCATGTTGTTAACTAACGTATCAATGATTAAAAAAAGGGGCTATCTTGGCTTCGAAAGGTCATAGGACCTGTTTATTTTTCTAAAAGTTGTGTTTTTTAACCAACTTTCCGAATATGTTTGCCATTTAATTTGAACTAACTTCTTACAGAGTTATTGTAAATGTTTATATGCTTAAAAAGTGCTATTTATGATTAAATAATTTTGAATACATAAATGCAATGTTCTTAACCCTTTGTTCCATAGGTTAATAGTATACGTCTAGACAAAGAAAATAAGCTAAGGGTTGTTGAGATCCATTTAGTCAAATTATTTGTACCAGCCCTAGAAATAAGCTCTTTTTTCAAAAAATCTTATAAACAAATTAAATTTTGCAAAAACTATTTAACTAATCTGATCTATCCTTTGCACAGAATTCAAATACAATAAGAGCCTCAAATTCAGGTACATTTAAACAAATTTTAATAAATAATACAAAAGTTATTAACAATAATCAAAAAGAGGTATTTTCACTTACACAGTGCGATTAATCCCAAAATGAAAGTCTTTTTGTAATATCTCATACTACCCATTTCAACTGTCAAATCCGTCTATACAGTTGTGAGGAAAAATGGTTCATTTTTTACAACTTGATTGGTCTAAGTTTATATGACATAACATAATATATGAAATTTTTTGATACTACATATTCTACCAGTCTTAGTAAAACAAATTTGGAAACATCGAAAACAAATATATTATAGTACAAAAAATAACAGTAACAATAATTACTTTTAAATTAAAATTACAATTAAAACCTAAGGTGTTTATTTTCTGATCTCCTATTTTAAATTCAAAGCATGTTAATCACTGCTATGAAGTGACAAATTATGATTCGTTTTTTACCGTTAAGATAATTTTAAATAGGTAAGAAGTACTGCGACAATAATCCCCTTACCAACATAAAGGAACTGATTGGAAACTTCCTGGACTATATACAATTTCATAAAATTCCGACAAATATTCTTATGAGGGAGATCTATCCTTTAGGCTTGTTACCAGACGATATTTTTGTAAACGCCCTAGCGTTTCAGGTGCAGTAGCATTTTGTTATAAATCATCTTAAGAAAAAAATCATAAACGTATATAATAAAAAGTAAATCGTACGTGATATACATTATAAACACGAACATTATATAGCGACGATTGGATGTTGATTTAACATAAATTACCTTAACCAAATTATTGTGAAGCGATCTAGAACTTTTTAAAGACGAGGTTTTACACTAGTTTAATTAAAGCATTCACTTACCGAGAGAGAGAGAGAGAGAGCTTCCCGAGAAACCTGTTAACTTTAGCGACAATACTACTACCAAAACTAGTCCCGTTAAAATTAATTTTGTAAGAATTTGTTTATTGCTTGCATGAAAATATCAATTGAGAAATGTTTGTCGTGTGATAAAAAAATAATTTCATTTAAAGAGTAGCCTCTGGCCTATTCGAATACATACCATTCCAAAAAGGACCACTCAAGTTGGATTACACCGTGTGAGCGTTGGAATTTGGGGATATTCCCGTAATAGTGAATTATTTTTTAGTAAGAAAAACAATTCACGGATTATGAGGAAAACCATATTCGAGTGTCTCTAGTCGCGTTTTAATCATAATGAGTAGAGTAATTTCGAATAAGAAGCACCGGTTTTGCCAATTCTTCCCGTGGTCTTTTATTATTAAAATGTTTTATTAAAAAGATAAAGTTTTTATTATTTCTTACTAAAAGTGCATACTGCATATCTGCTCGAAAAAGGAAATGAAGGAAGAATAAAGATGAACATATTCGCGTATGTTTATTACATGCAACGGTAGATGTAAAGAGCAAAATTTTTGTATAAGGTATTTTATGTTGAATCTACATAAAATAAACTACAATATTGACAAAAGCTTTGATGTATGATTTTTTTCTTATTAACGCAGATCATCTTTGCTGATATTAACCGAATGCTATGTAAAATAACATTAAGTAAGTCTATACTAGGTTTCGGACTGTAACGGTTTTGCTTTGCAAGAGTTATAAAATCTATGCCAAATCAAATTCAACAGCAAATTTTTACAGGGAATATTTGGAGTTGACTTTTATAATATCTATTTTAAATGCATGTAGTATTCTTTTCAAATAATAACTTTTGTATTGGCTTACTTATTGTTGTACCGCTTATATTTATTACACTTGGCTTAATAATGACGTAAAATATGCTAAATTTGAAACTATCGTTAATCTTACAATTTAACTATGATCTACGATTAAATAATTTTAAATATTAACTTATCTATCTATTACTCAGTAGTTTAAATTATATTTTTAGATATATCTTATATCATCCAATTTCTTTCTTGGTTCAAAGTTTTGTGTGTTGTGTTTCATATTAGGGTTTAATATTAAAAAAAAAATAGTGATTTTTACTGTATTTTTTAAATATTTCCTTCTTCTTTATTATTGGTAACTTAAAATACATACTACGTTGCTCATTATAATTCAATATAATTTTCTGTGAAGACGTTCTAAGACGTTTCTGTGAAACGAAAGTCATGAAAGATGTCACGAAAGTTTTAGTAAAACTGTATTATATAAGAAACAAAAATTAAATTTATTTAAGTTGAATATAAGTGAACGCTTAACCACGCTTCCACCCATATTTATGTATCCATAAATCATCAAATGTCTACAGCTTTCGAGAGATTTTAACTCCTAAAAACTTGATTATATTTAAATAACGCGTAGACACCCATTGTCTTCTCTGTCTTGGGCGGTATAAACATAATATTACCCTCATTCTACAATAGTTCCCAAATGGCCCTTGAGTTATTACATTTATTAAACACCTGTGCATCGAACAAGGCCATGTAAGTTATCACTCTACCAAAAAAAAAATGATCAATATTAATGCAACAGAAAAAATTTTAAAAAATTTGCTTTGCAGAGCAGATTTTTTTTGATATCCGATGTCCCACCTATTCAAATAAGAATATCACAGCAGCATGGTGAAGGAAACACTTCGCTATGGATATTGGAATCACTATTATTTTATTATCTTAGCATTATAAGGAGCTAGAGCTAGATCAAAGGAGCTTTAGTTCTACGTTAAGATTTAAAACTCCTCGTAGGAAGTACATAAATAGTAAAACAAGTGTCGAAACAACGGATGTCCACGAAGAATTGTTGGTCGACTTAGGGATTAGTAGTAGGAGAATTTAGGAACAAAACGTTATGATATATTGACAGAATCCCAGTACATAACAATTTCCTTAATAAGCCACACACTTAAGATATTTCTTAAAATAATACATGGAAGACTATACAAAAAAATAGAAGAAGATATAGATGACACCCAGTTTGGATTCAGAGGAACACTAGGAACGAGAGAGGCTCTGTTCGCTTTTTAGGTTCTCGCGCAAAGACGACTAGATATGAACCAGGATTCTGCTTTATAGATTATCAAAAGGCTTTTGATAGAGTACGACATCAGAGACTCGTAAAACTGTTAAAAGAAAAGAATGTGGATAGTCGAGATATACGGGTTATTGTCAATCTGTACTGGAATCAAAAAGCAAAGGTTAGAATCGAAATTGTCGATACAGAAACAATAGAAATCAAAAAAGGTGTTATACAGGGTTGCGTGCTTTCCCCATTGTTATTCAATCTGTACAGCTAAGCTATTTTTAAGAAAGCAATATCAGAAGAACAACAGGGTATATCAATAAACGACATAAGATTCGCAGACGACACCGCTGTTTTTGCACAGTCTAGAAGCATTGAAAAGCTTAGTAAATAGATTACATCAGTATCAAATATGGACTACAAATGAACGTTAAGAAAACCAAGTTCATGATTATTTCCAAGCAGCATACAGTAGAAAGGCTAGATATCGAGGGAAGACAAGTAAAAGAATGAATGAACTACAAATATCTGGGTAAATGAAAACAATGGTAGAGAAATAAGGTAGAGAAATAAGGACACGCATTGAAATTGCAAGACAAGCATTTATAAAAATGAAAACAATGTTTGTCAATTGAGACCTTCCTCTGAATCTGAGGATAAGAGCCTTAAGATGCTACGTGTTCTCGACTTTGTTGTATGGAATGGAAAGCTGGACACTAAAAGTGGATAATATAAAGATGTTGGAATCATTTGACATGTGGTGCTATAGAAAGATTTTGAAAATGCCATGGACCCAACGATTTAAAAATGCAGAAGTGTGAACAAGGCTACAAAATTGCGAGGTCATCAAGCACATCAAAAGAAGAAAGCTGGAATATTTCATCAAAGCTTGGAAAGCTGGAAAGCGTCATCAATAAGGAACCTTAAACAAGAACAAACAAAGTCGAATAAGATACAATGAAGAAAAACAAAGAATTTCAAAAGAATTGTAGTTGACTGAATTTCTTCGACAACTAAATAAGGAAGTTGCTTTATAGAGAAAGTCAATCCAGAACAATGAAGAAGATTTCAACATCTATTCTTATACGACAATTTGAAGTGTAAGAAACTAAAAACCCTTGAGTATTTTGCACATATCATGCTCCAAACTCAGAATAATATGGAGTTCTCCACATTATTACTCAGGACAGAATATGTGGAAAGAGAGGTCTTGGTCGAAGAAGAACATTATGGTTTCATAACCTACGAGAGTGGTTTAATCAATTTTCGTCGTCCTTCTCCAGGGCTGCGGTGAATACAGTTATGATAGCCAATATAATAATCAATGTTCGGTAATGGACATTTTACGAAGAGAAGAAGATACTTATGTAACCTTAATAACAGGAAAGAAAAATTTATGAAACGGTAAAGTAACTTAGAAGGATCTTAAAGGGTAATTAATTATATCCTGAATGAGAATTCTGTTTGGTAAAAACAGGTTTGAGATTATAGGTATTATAACAAACAAACCATAATTATATGACGTCGCTAATGGAAAAAAAATACCTAAACATAACAATCAGATACAAAAATTAGTGAAGCTTTTTTAAATAAGACTGATTTTCGTTGATTATTATTAATAAACGATAATTGGTAAATAATTTGTAATAAAAAAGAGTTAATGAAGTTTTGTGTACACCTAACAAAGATATATTTATGACAGTGATCTGGACCAAAAGCTGAGGCAGGCAGTTGAAGAAACCAATATAAATATTGATATAATCAAATCAATCACAAACCTATATTTCTCTACTATTTTTATTCTATACTATAAAAACCTATTTAAGGCCAAAATAGAAGTCAGCGATGGAATATTGCAAGGTTTTGCACTTGCACTTGTATTGCAATTTTGAAAAGATATCTAGAGAGAGTCTTAAAAACATGGAAGAGGAAATATCATCAAAGGGAAATCCCCGTGAAAACAGCAAACTTTACACATTGTGTTATATAGATGATCAGGTAGTATTGGCTACCTGATCATCTATATAGATGATCAGGTAGCCAATACTACCTGGTGATATAGAAGAAACCAATATAAATATTGAGATAATTAAATCAATCAAAAACCTATATTTCTATACTATTTTTATTCTATACCATAAAAATCTATATAAGGGCAAAATAGAAGTCAGCGATGAAATATTGCAAGGTTTTGCACTTGCACTTGTATTGCACTTTTGAAAAGATAACTAGAGAGAGCGTTAAAAACATCAAAGAGAGCAGAGAAAATGTCATCAAAGGGAAATCCCTGAGGGAACACCAAATTTTACACTCTGTATTATACAGGTGATCAGATAGTATTGGCTCAAAATATGATAATCTACAGTGAGTTTAGAAGCGAATATGGAGAAAACTAAATACACCAATATACCAATACATATGATTAAATGAGAACGCAGGACCTACACCTAGAAGATGGAGAGCTAATTAAAAACAATGTAAGAAATATAATTATCTAGGTTTGCAACTTATAAACCACAGTACATTAGACGGAGATATAAGATACAAGAAACCTCAGGGTTGGAAAGCTATCTTACAAATAAATAGTATTTATGGGAGTAAACGATGTCCTAGGAGAACAATTAAACGTATAGCCATATACAGTTAGGAAGTGTAGCA